AAAATGAACATGAGCTGGCAGTGTGGGCTTGCAGCCCAGAAAGCCAACTGTATCCTGGGGTGCTTCAAAAGGAGCGTGACCAGCAGGTCAAAGGAGGTGATCCTGCCCCTCTACTCTGCTCTTGTGAGACCTCACTTGCAGTATTGTGTGCAGTTCTGGTGTCCTCAACATAAAAAGGACAGGGAACTGTTGGAACAAGTCCAGAGAAGGGCCACAAGGATGATCAGAGGACTGGAGCACCTCCCTTATGAAGACAGGCTGAGAAAGTTGGGGCTGTTCAGTAGCAAGAAGAGAAGGCTGTGTGGAGACCTCATAGCAGCCTTCCAGTATCTGAAGGGGACCTATGGGGATGCTGAGGAGGTACTCTTCATTAGGGACTGTAGTGACAGGACAAAGGGTAACAGGTTAAAACTTAAACAGGGGAAGTTTAGATTGGATATAAGGAGGAAATTCTTTCCTGTAAGGGTGGTGAGTCACTGGAATGGGTTGCCCAGGGAAGTTGTGAATGCTCCATCCTTGGCAGTGTTCAAGGCCAGGTTGGACGAAACCTTGGGTGGCATGGTTTAGTGTGAGGTGTCCCTGCCCATGGCAGGGGGGTTGGAACTAGATGATCTTAAGGTTCTTTCCAACCCTAACTATTCTATGATTCTATAACAGAAAATTTGAAGGTAATTTATCAACGTATTCCAAACTTAATTGTATAGGAATAGTTATCTACTTCACATAAAATTAAAAGCAAGTAGTATATATGTGACACATTTTTCTGAATTTCAGTCATCTAATAGTATATTTAATTTGCAATGAATGGAAGGTAGTGAAGCAGGATATAATTTAATTTTTCTTCATTAAAGTGTTTGAGATAGAGACTTCCTCACCACAAAAACAAGTGCAAAAAGAAGAGATGTAATAAGGAGGCACTAATTTTTTACCTAAGGGATCTAAAAAGTTTCCAGCTGAGTAAGTCTGAAGTCTGATGCTTAGTATAAAAGTAGGTGGTGAGCATGATATGCACAAAGCAGAGATTGCTTGTTCCAGCTAAGTACTCGTTTACACAGCAACACTCAGAAAGTTAAGATAAATGAACTAATACAATGAAGTTTGAGTGCATTAGTCAGAGACCATTAAATCTCTGTGTAGATTTTTTTATTGAGAAGTAAAGTAACCTTAGAAGTAACCTTAGATGCTATGAATTAATTCTTCTTGAATACTCAAAAAAAAAAAAAAAAAGAGAAAAAAAAAGGAAAGGGGCACAGGCTCCCAGGTCCAAAACAATAATTTAAGAAAATCAGAGTAATTAATGGGCCATGAAAGCACCTGCACTCACTCTAAATCACCTCAATTACCTGAGGAGGTGGAAGAAGATTGCCTCTGACTGCCCAGGTCCTCAACAGCTGGCACTAGGCATGCACACTCTGCTTACTGCAGCTGCTAACCCTGTGCTGGATTTAGCCCTGCAACACTGAATGTAAATGCCTATATAAGAGTGAGACAAGGTCTCATGAGTTACATGTTTATATAATTTAGAATTAGATTTAATTGTAGCAGTCAAAAAGTGTTACATCCATCTGAAATGAGATTTAGGTTTAACAGCTCTTGGTGGTAGTCAAACTTCCCACAGCACTGGCTTCATCCTAGGCTGCTGTAAACCCATACAGCTAAATAAATACTTGACAGATGTATCTTAATCACTACAGCTACATTGCTATCTCTACCATGTTAACTAGTTTGAAGTTAACTCATGTATCTCTGTAGCCATACCTCCAGAAATTATGCAGCCTTGTGTCAAACATTAATATGACATTTCATTTGCTAATTTTGTCAGTGTGCATGTGTTTCTAGTATACTGTGGATTTGTATGGTCCAGGTCTATTTATCTTTTTAGCTGTCTGAAATACCTTGCCTTCCAGTTATAACAAATTAAATTATGGGGTCATATTATACTTGTCTTTATAAACTCGTAATTTATCCATGTGCCAAAATACAGACAGTTTTATTCTGTGATTTTTAAAATCTGCCCAAAGAAGTGGTAAATGCTCCAGTCCCTGGCATTGTTCAAGGCCAGGTTGGACAGAGCCTTCGGTGACATGGTGTAGTTTGAGCTGTCCCTGTCCATGTCATGGGGTTGGAAATAGATAATCTTAAGGTCTTTCCAACCCAGCCATTCCATTATTCTATGATTCTACGATTATCAGTACCACCCTATTGACCACTTAATAGAGGCAGGAGGGACAAATATGTGCCGTGAATAGCAAATGAAATAGTTCTGGAGGGCCTGGAATCTGTTTGTCAAATCAGGCTAAATTCAGAGATACTTTCCGAAGCAAAAGAGAGAGATTAGTGTTAATTCATAGGCAAACAAGTATCTGTCCTATAGTCACCGGGACTTAATGTATGGTTGCCACAGGTAACATTTAATCATCACATTGTCTTTTTCCCTCCCTCACTCCAACAGCAATGTATTAGTGAAGTGTATTTGGGAAAAGCCACACTGTAGATCAGCCTTTTCCAGTTTCTTCTTAATGTCTGTGGTAATAAAATATATTTCCCAGAAACGCAGGACAATTCATTTCATTGTTAAAATCAGTTTTCCATAAAAATCAGAAATGTCCATCTGGATTATCATTGAGCCTTCCATTAGAGAAGGTATTTACATGTACTTTGGAACTTGATGATCTTCAGGTCCTTTCCAACCCTAATATTCTATGATTCTATGATTCTATGATTTTATTATTATTCTTCCCTGTTTACAAAGTATTGCATAGTTATGTTTTATTCATTGATTGTAATAGTAGTAACAATTATGACACCTGCTACTTAAACAGACTTCAGCAACAGCTTAGAGTTTTATGTCACAAAATGACAAACTCACAGGACAGCTGTCCCAGGCTGAGAAAGCCCTAACCCTCAGCCTTTCCTCTTGGGGCAACTGCTCCAGCCCTGACCATCACAGTGGCCTCAGGCTGAACTCAGTACAGTTTACTGATGGCTTTCCTGAACTGGGAAGCTCAGAACTGGACACAGCATCTAGATGTGGTCTTATGCGAGATGAGTACAGCGGGATATTTAATACCTTACTGTTACTGATGGGCCGAGCTCATACAGTCCAGGGTGCCATTTGCCCTTGTGAAAGTACTAATAAATCAAATACCAAATTGGAAAGAACCTATTTTATAGTGACTCTGTGCTTATGTATGTACATAATTTTGAAATAATTTCAGTGCTCTTAAGCATGAGAAAATGCTTTGGTGAATCATTTCTCATAGTATTTCTTCTTTTCAGGATCAAATTGACTAAGCACAATAATTGAAATATTACTAGCACTTTATAAAAATATTTAATTCAAAGCAAATTTTAGGGCACAGGTTTACCTGACTCTTAATGCCATAAGAATCTTTGTTATAATTTCAGCCACTTCCATCTGGAATTTTCAGTAATTATACCTATTCCTCTTATTTTCAAAATCAGGCTTGTGGGTGGAAATCCCTTGTAAATCTTGGGACTTAGATTCAGGGAGGTTGACTATTCAAAAAATATGCTTAAAATTATTTTTAGAACTCTAGTGTCATATTTTGGGGTGGATAACTGAAATTTGTTTGTGGTGTTTGCATTTATCAGAAACATCCAGTTTTCCTCTGGATTTTTCCTATTAAAAACAATATTATATTAGAGTTGCACATACTTTCTGGAGGCACTTTAGAAGGTAACAGTAAAACTCCCTTAAGATTCATGCCTTTATCATACTCTAGCTTGAGGCCAGATGGAATGTTTTCTTATAATTTTTCCTCCTATGTACAAGACGCATTTTTTGGAACTAAATATGAAAACAAAAAAAAAACAGAAAAAAATCTGTCCTGTGCTTCAGTAAGTGACTGCATAATTAAAGACAGCATTATCAGGCATATGCATAAAGTGACTTAGCTCTATGACACATGAATGCTTTTTTCTGGCATTTTATAAAATCTTAGTAATCATTTCTGCAAAGTTCACGTTCTTCTATGTAAAGCAATGAACTCCCGTGTAGGTAAAATGGTACACAAGAGGCTGTTTTGGTCAAGGCTGCAACTTCATTTGTGTTTTTAGAATACTGTGTGTGAAAAGACCTTACCTGGGATCCCTTGCATTATTGCCGGGCTAGACCACTGATAACCTAAAAACCCTCATTTTCAAACAACATGATTTATTAAGTAGCTGGGACGCAGGTCTAGACACTCCAGATGACCCTGATTAGCACAGACTGGAAAGCTAGGAATAGGGGTGTAAAATACTATAAAAACATATAAGAATACATACAGAACTGAATATAGTTGTGTGAAGGAGCATGTGTGTATATACATACTACTTTTAATAAGCTCCCTTCTTGCTTCCTCCTGTCATAACTAAGCATAGCACTGGTGCATCAGAGAGATGTTCATAAAATTTTATGCAACCTAACCTTTATAGAGGAGGTTTCTTAGGCAAAAAATCTGCACATATCCCAGGAAATATCTTTGTTTACCTGACCTTTGAAAACCAGTCCAAAACAGTTCCTCTGTGGATTTTTAGAAAGTGCCAGTTAGAAAAGACTGAGCAATCTGCAAAAGAGTAGGTTCTTAAAATGGAGGCTTTTCTTATCTCTGATACACAGCTGTCTCACTGTTAACTATGACTTCGTAACTTCGTTAGCACCCACTGGCCTATAAATTTGCTTTTTTCCTTGCTCAACACACTTCACGCTTTTTGCACCAGAGGAAGTTCATCCGCACTCTACTTTCTTGCACCTTTGCTACGAAAAGGATTTCTGGATAAGTTTAGATGTGAAAATATTTTTTATGACTCTCCATTGACAATATAGCCAAACAAAATTACACTATTTGCTAATGTTAAGGTACAGACAATTCTGTGATAATTTACAGCTTGAATGCTTCTATAATGTAAAAGTGATAACATATGTAGTTAACAAATACACTGTATATTGCATATATATGTATATAGGTAGATAATCGACAGAAATACAAAGTCACCTTTTGTTGGTGTTTGCTTTTCATATCTCTCCAGCTTCTGTTTGGGAATTTCTGAAAACAATGCAATGTAAATTTAGCAATATTATAATAAGCTTCACACACAACATATCAGACGCATTTTCATGATAAAAAACACCTACATTCTTTAAATATTATAGGAGAGTAATGTCTTTATCATCTGCATATTCAGAATTATACACAATATAGTTCAATTTTATATACATATGCATATATGGACAAAAAATAGTAACATTAAATGACTTAATAATTACTTTGGATTTAACTGAGCAATTTTAAAGTAAAAAATACATTTTGCTGGTCTGCAACAGCTACACAGTAACATGTGTTGGTCATGAATCAGAAAAACTCATGGTTTTACTAAACATTTTTTTAATGTGTCTTGAGTTACCAGTATTTTATGTTTTCCAAATTACCTTCAAAAGGAAAAAAATGTTCTTTTTACTGCATTTACTAAATTTTTTAGAGCTCACTTGCTGAACTGATAACTCCAGCACACAAGAAGCGATTCAATACTGTATACAGATTACAGAAATAAAAGTTCCCAGGTTAGGGATCATTGTCTTGGAGAATGATTCATTTGCTATATATCAAAGCATTGAGTCTGTATTTTTAGAAGAGGAAGTGGTACAGTATTTACCTTCTTTTGCTACACTATCTCTTTTAAACAAAATTCCTCACTTATGCTATTGATGTTAAATTACTGCTATATACCTCTGACACTAATTTATTTCCTACTGCACCAAACAAAAGGATAACATTGAAAATGCAAAGTGTTGAATTTGAGAAAAAAACAAACCAGAATTAAATCAAGATTGCATAGCACTGTTTGCATACAGTGGTAGAAATTTAAAGGCCGTTTATTACTGGTGTTCAGTAAAGTTATTAAGACTATACAGAGTGCCAGGTTTATGTTATTATGCATATATTTCCTGCAGTAGGAAACTGGTATAAAATACTGGATCAAATTCGTCTTTGACAAAAGCACATGACAATCTCACAGACTCTGTGGGAGATGCTTCTGTAGTTAAGGGTTAGATTTGGCCTGTAGTGTCTAATTAACAAGGAACACTGATCCCAAAATTAATCCAACAAAGAAAATATTGTGCATACTACAACTCAACTCTAAAGAGCTATTTTAATGCCTTTTGAAGAAAACTGAAATTTTCCACTTATACCCTTAGTTCTTTCTTCAGGTTGTAACAGCATGCACATTGCCAAAGAGGTCCAGGCAAGGGTAATTTTGCTTCCCACAATTTTGATCTTAGTATAAGTTCTTGAAAATAAATACAGAATGCTTTTATTTGATAGTATTTGCCATTTGATAGTATTTGCCATCTGGAATATTGATTGTGTCTTGTTTGCAGGAAAATCACCTATTCTATGCTATCAGCCTATGTTGTCTTCGGATAAAGAGAATACTATTTCACTGAGCTAAAGTGCAATATAGTCCAAAATACTGTTAGCTACTAATGTATGGCAGCAAAGTTAAGCTAATTATATGATAACATTAAGCTAAAGGACTTTTGATTCAGTTTTCATCTTGTTCCTTGCAGCCTGGGTGTGTAGCTTATTTATTGTCATATAAACCACAAAGGTTGTGATTAGGAAGAAATCATGCCGTATTGTTTAACTGTATTTCATTTTAGCCTGGATTATTTTTCTTTCTGCAACTGTATGAAGATTCTTTTTCTATCAACTGAGATAATCCAGTTTATAGAAAATCCTTTTCTGGATTTTCAGAGTTTCCCTGTCTCCTTGTCACTTCCTCTGCATTGCAACATGCAGTAGAGACATATCTCACCCAGCTCAAGAGGTCATCCTACACACAGAGGTGAATATGGCCCACTAAGTGATAAATCACATTCTTCAGGCAGTCATCTACACAGACACATATTCCTTAATTGCCTCAAGATGCCTCAACTTTTCTGAGTTCCCACACGTCCCATGTGTCTCACTACAGAAAATAGGCCCCTCTTTATTGAAAACATAAGTATAAACATTTGTTCTTTCAAAATAAAAACTAAAGGTCTTTAAATTTGCTAAGGGTTTAGGGAAATTCTCACTGCTAATTTGACTGCAAAACAGTATGGAGCAATGACTGTAGAGCTGGCCATTTAAATCAGTCTCACATTCTGCCAGCAGTGAAGCTTACTTGACACAAATACTTCAGTAAAGTACACAAAAATGTCACTTTCTAGACAGTTGCACTGAGAATCTCATGTAAGTTGCTGCTACAATTAGAATGCTACACATCACAAAAAATCCTGTGCAAGTTCTTTAAAGTGAAATACAGTGTGTATATTTATGTTTTAACATATCGCAAAGTAGGGCATCAATAAGATCTCTTCATAAGCTTCCTATTATTGTTTGAGCCATCATAAAAAATTGCAGCTTGGAACACATCAGTTCTGATACATTACAAGCTAAATTTTCCCAGCACAAATAAATCTATTCTCAATATATGCTGATCTTGACCAATTTACAAGATAGAAAATAGTGACTCTTCGATAACTGTAAAATATTTAAAATAAGGAAACACATTAGATTATTGGAGAGTATTTTTTTCTTTTCTGAAATTTCAATACCGTTTTCTTCATCTTTAATGACAAATAGCTTTAATTTTCTAGTAATCACATCATATCTTATTGCTAAGTTGAAGAAGTGGCTATAATACCACAGAACACTTACAGGGCCAGTTTAAAGCATGTAATTTATCTCTATCAATGTGACACATTGTTAATAAATCCCAAATATTATGAATTCGTGTTAGAAAAATGACAGAATCAAGCAGCAGCAAGGATAATCTTTGTCACCACGGCAACCATTCCGATCCTTTACGAGATGACAGCATGGTTTATTAAATTATTGCAAGGGAGTATGTATTTTAAAAGCTGTATTTCACTGTTTGTTTTCTTCAGTTATCAAGCAGACATGAAAAATAACCTTTCCCCTTGCATGCCTTCAATTTTGAATGGGTAAGTACTTTATTTCCTTAAATATGGATACTGCTTGGCACTGACTTCTCTAGACTTCAGGTCTTGTGCAGATATACAGAACATGCAGATTGATTAAATAATGCCAAGAAAGGAAGCTAGCAGTCTCCTCAGTGACCATTTCAAGATGCTGGAAGGAGATATATTTGACCATATTGTTAGCAGGCCCATATATCTATGTACTGTTGACCCAAGGCAAGCCCTCACAATCAGCTGATGATCAGTGTCACAGACAGCTTTACTGAAATAGCTGTTGAACATGCAGTTAGTGTACTAGCTTCCCCCACGCCTTACCCAGCTAATCTTCATTAACAGCAGTTCACAGTGTCTAAGGACAGCCGGACACTGGCTGCATGTTACAAAGCCCCAGCTGTGGGAAGATCAGGGTGGGAGAAAGAGAAAAAAATTACAGTTCCCTGAATCTGTGAGTTAATGATGCAGCACTGTGCAGGTTTACATCAGTGTGAAGGAAGAGCACAGCCCCTCATAATATGGCATGAGGTTCCTGCTTCCTGGAACAGTTCCCTTCGTCTGTTCTTGTGTTTTTGATTTTGATTTTTTGTTATTTCCTTTTTTGGTATAATAAAATATATGGCCTTATTCTTAGCCATTTAAATTGTATAGTGTTATGATAGCACCTATAGGACTCAGCCTACATAAATTGTTTTCGGTACCACATGGACTTATAACGATATAATATCCTATCTCCTTAACACAGGAGTTGAAACTTTAAGAGGGGTACATTTATTCTCTTACTGGGAAAGCACAGCCATGCATCTTGCTTCATTAGAGGATGAAGTGGTGTGTAGCAATCTGGCATTGCTAAAACAGCTCCTAGACCTCACCCTCTGCTGAGTTATCATCTTAATGGTGAAATATAACAAAATATATAAAAACAACACCCCCCCAGAACTCCCCACAACAACAAAACAAAACCAAACCAAAAAAAAAAAAAAGACCACAACAGCCAAACAACAAACCAAACAAAAAGTGTCAAGGGTATGAAAGGCAAAGTGAGAAAACAAAAGGATTATTGCCCCCATCTGAAACTCAAAAATGCTTTACTCAAGATAACACAAAAAGTCAGCAAAGGAACTGGGAATTTAACTCTGATTCTTGAAATTCAATATTATCCCCTTATTCTTAAAGCCATCCTGTTTCTACTTAAATACTGTAGTGAGAATAGAATATAGGTTTTATGTATCTTTTAAAGGTATAATTGAACAGATAAAATTTCACTTGAAATTATAATACATTGTTCTAAGAAAACATTACCAGTTGGTCATCTTTTTTCATAGTCTTTTACAGGTAACACAGCAATATACATGGTCAGTGTTTTGACATTCTTTCTCTTATAAACATCCAAGTGTGAAAAGGCAAATGAGTCCTATTCAGACTCCTGGTGAGCCAGAGGTTAATAATTTGCTCCTGAACAGTTAAAACCCTTACAGCTATTACCAGCAATTTAATGGGGCTATATCCTTTTTAGTTTATCAAGACTAATTGGTAGCAGGCAGCTGATTATCCTGAAAAGTTGGTGGAAATAGATACTGAGGGCAAGGTGTGAGTGGTGTTAAAAGCTTTAGAAAATGAGAAGGGTGTAATTTCTAATGTGTTTCTAGATGCTGTCTGTATGAAGAATTGTAGTCAACTCTCCTGCTGCTGGTATCCTCTGGAGAAATTTGCAATTGTGCAGCTGATGTGTATGTTGAATCTAGATAACACCAACTGGTGAAGATGACAGCTATCCTGTGGGGCTAGGAAGAGAATAAAGGAAGTTGTACATTAGAGCAACTTCTAGCTATCTAGTAAAATATTGTGTTGCTGTACTCTAGAAGGAAAAAAAAAACACCCAAGTTTTGCAAGAGAAAAAAAAAACATGGGAGGAAAAAAAAAAACACCCCAAAAACCCCACCAACCCAAAAAGAACAGGCGATATTTAACTGGGGAATTAGATTGCTATATTATGCCTATATCCAGGAGCAAGAGACAGTGTAACAGAAGGATTTAGGTACAGCATTCAGTGTTGGAAACTGA